GAAAGGCGGGGCGCCCGGGCAGCAGCTGGTGCCGACTTCTGCGGCTGTCTGCCAGGCGTCAGCACCTGCGGTTTCAGGACGGTCTTTACAGCCCCCATCTGTTAGGCCTCTGACACCGAAGCCCCAAGTGGGAAGGCCGGGGGACGGAGCCTGTCCAGGCCGCCTCCAGCTACCAGTGAGTGCCCTTTCGAAATTGCACCTCAGTACCAGCAGTTAGCGTAATGGCTATGTCTCTGGACTCCCACGTAGTTGACCGTGGTTCGAGTCGCAGACCCGGTGGCTTAAACTCACGCTGGGCGCGTGTGCGTGCGTGCCCAAGATCCCGAGAGGAGAATGGAGGAAAAGGGATTGCGGCGTGGCCATCCCCCCTGGGGGGTGATTTCTCGCTTTCTGTCTATCTGTCTCTGTCTTTCTGGTGAGTGGACGTGCCCTATAGCAAAAACCTCCCCCCCAAAAAAAAGAAATTGCATCTCAGACAGAGATCCCTGCATGAGGGTCAGAGCCGCAGCCTCGTTCCCAACGAGCAGCGGGAGCAGCCTGAGTGTTCACGATGGTGGAGGACGGGCGGGCCTTCCCTGTGGTGGCACCTGCTGTGCCGGGCGGGCCCTGAGCACGGGCTGGGGAAGGTGCGGATGGCCAGGCCGCAGGGCCCCACGTGTGTGAGGTGCCCAGAGCGGTGAGTCCAGAGCCAGGAGTGGCAGGGTGGGGGCTGGGGCGGGAAGTGTCTAATGGGGGCGGTTTCGGTTTGGGAAGAGAAGTTCTGAGGTGGATGGCAGCCCTCTCGGGAGGCGGCGCTCAGCACCATGAGCTGAGCTCTTAGAGAGCACTCGGTGGGGCCAGCAGGCGGCCTGGGACTACGGCACCGCTCCCGCACAGCCGGCCGTGCAGTTTGAGTCCTGGACCCAGCGGCTTGAAAATCATGCCGAATGCGTGTGCATGATGCCTGATCCCAGGGGGAGAGTGGAGGAGGGGCCGCAGCATGGCCGTTCCCCTGGAGGGTGGCTTCCCCCTCTCCATTGGTCTGCCTCTGTACCTCCCCGTGTGAGCACATGAGCCTTTCAGCAAATCCACAAAGAAAAACCTCACATGTGCTTTCTCACAGCGTGAGGTTGTGGGCGTGCGTTGGTCACAGCATGGGGCCTCCTTGATGGCGCCCTGTCCTGCCCCAGGTGGGCGAGGCTGGGCGGGAGGCATGTGCGGAACTCTGCGATCACGGGGGCCCTGCCCAGAGCTGTGGGGACCCGAGGCCCCCTGCACAGCCTCCTGTTGGGTCTGGAGTCAGGCCTGGGTTCCTTCCCAAGGGCAGGTCTGCCGTGCAGGGGAGCAAGAGGTGGCCTCCTCTCGCATGGGGCCCCACCTGGACGGCCGCCTCCGTGGGCAGAGGGGCCCCACCTGGACGGCCGCCTCCCGGGAGTCCTGCCTCGCGCCTGCTCCGGTGGGCCACAGTGCCCAGCTCGGCCAGCCCACAGGGCCCTTACTGCTGGTGCTGTCTGCGGTGCCCACATCGGTCAGGACCAGGTGTCTCCTGGGGTGCTGGGCAGTGCTTGGGGTGGGGCAGTCCCCAGCTCTGCTCCAGCTCCTGTTCCCCAGGGGCTGGGCCACCTCCAGGCCTGCACCGAGCAGCCTCCGGCTGAGGGCCAGGGGCTGAGCCGGCCGGGCCCGGTGCCACGCAGCCCCACAGGCACGCAGGGTGGAAAGTCCCTGGCTGCATCCTCTGAGAGCTCCGGAAAGTCCCCAGCAGGAGTTGGGTTTGGTCACGTGGAAGGGGCGGGCACTGTGGGGACAGCTAGGAGGTAGCCTTTGCTTTTATTGATAAAGCCGTGACTGGCTCTGGACGTCACAGGTGGGGTTGGGGCAGGTCTTCAGGCAGCCCCCCTTGTGGTCCCCAGGGTGCCCCCGGGGCATCCCGACATGGTGCCCAGGCTGGCGCGGCCCTGTTCGCAGCTGAGTGCCAGGCATGGGGAGTCACGCTCAGCCTTCCAGGCGCCCTCCTCTGCCCGAGGCTCTCCTGAAAAAGCCCAGCTCATTCCTGGGCTCTCGCCAGGTCTGTGGCGAAGGCTGCTGTGCACTCAGGGTGCTGGGAGGGCAGGGAGCCAGGAGACCTCCAGAGAGGACAGATGCCAGCGCAGGCCACCGGCCCTGAGCACAGAGCACTGAGGCAGAGCTGGCCACAGGCAGGCAGCATGGAGGTCCTGCTGCTCGGCTGGCCTGGGTGCTGCCTGGGCTTCAGCGCTTTCTGGGTTTGGGGAGAGCAAGTGAGAGCGCCCCCCCAAGGGGACAGTCCCTTTCCTCCTGTTCTCTGGGGATTTCATATCCCCATGGGCCCAGGTGTGGGGTTGGGCTGATGGGAGGGTCTGCGCTAGGATGCTTGGAGCCACCTCCGAAGTGTCCATGGTCACTGTGCTGTCCCCTACTGACCCCACTCACTCCTAGAGGCGGCAGGCTCTGAGAGCGTGCAGGTGTGCGCCCTCGAGGACCCAGCCCTTCTGCCACCTATCCCTCGTGGTCGTCATCGCCCTGCGTGTCCCAGGAGAGGGGCCACCTCACAGGTGGCGAGTTCTCGCCTCAGACCTTGCCCACCTCCCAGACTGGAAAGGGCTCCCACGTTGTCAACAGTGCCAGCCCCTCTGCCTCGGCGGTCCACGGCATGTCCCCTGTTGGCGCCCGTGTCTGGTCGTTCTTGGTGTGTGGCCGTCTCCGGCCCTCACATTTCAGATCCCAATGCCCCGCAGAGGAGAGACGGCAGGTGGGCATCAGGACTGCCAGCTCCATGCTGGGAGGCCCCAGGGTGGGCAGGCCTCTGGGGACAGGAAGCAGGAAGGGGGCGGGAGCCGTGCTTAGTGTCCGGTGGAGGTAGTGCCAGTTTGGGAGGACGGAGGGGCCCAGGGCTGGCTGGTGGCTCCGGCCTCACTGCGAGCAGTGTGCTTGCCGTGTCGCTCCGTGTGCTGGAAGGGGGTCGAGCAGGACCTCTTGTGCCTGCCTTCGGTTTCAGATGCCTTGACCGGAGCCCATCTGGTAATGAGGTGGGTAAGGCACTGGACCCCACGTGGCTGACTGCATGGTTTGAGGCCCAGACCCGGCAGCTGAAGAGACGCTGGCTTGTGTACAGGCGTGCCCCAGAGCCGAAATTGGAGGAGACAGGACTGCGGCTTGGCCGTCCCCTAGGGGTGCTTTCTCTCCCTACCCCAGCGAGCACACCTACTCTGTTAGGAAAGCTGAAAGAAAAAATGAAAGCGTTCCCCTCCACCTCCAGGCTCCTCCAGCGACCACTCCCTTTCTCAGGGACCTGCCAGGCTGTGCCATGCACCACTCTGGCCACTGTGGAGCTGGGCTCCCCTTGCCCATGACTTGGCTGGGAGGCCTGGGTCCTAGGCCTCTGCCCTGAGCCGCGCAGGCTCACCCCACGGCCGGTCCCTTCAGCCTCTCAGTTTCCCCGCGGTTGGCCCCCTCCTGGTGCCCACCTCCCTCTGGTGCCCGCCCCCTCCTGGTGCCCACCTCCCCCTGCAGGGCTTGTCCTGCCCGCCCCTGCCCCGTCCTTGCAGGGGTTGGTCCTGGGTGTTCCGCGAGGCTCTGCGCTGTACAGCAGGGGCCAAGGGGTCCAGCTGCTGACCAGGGCATGGCGAGGGGCAGCACACACCCCTACCCCGCCCCACCCTTCCGGGGGCACCTGCCAGCCCCGCCTCGTCCAGCCCTTGGTCTGCATCACCTTGCCCTGGCGCCATCGTGCCCCCACCACCCTGGCTCCCTGCTCACTGCGTGGGGCCCACTGTGTTCCACGGCCGCCTGGTGGTCAGGAGTGGGTCCTGTGAGAGCTCGAGCCGGCCGGACCCCACCAGCGTCTGGTCCTCATGGAGAGGGCACGGGCTGCTCAGCCTGCAGTAGCTGGTAGGGGACCAAGCACTCGGCCTCCGAGCCCCAGGCCCGTGGGCGCCCGTGACACCTCCTTCTGTTGCCAGAGCTGCCACGAAGGACACTGCCCTTTTGCGCTGACCGAGTGCCCCGCGTGTGAAGGCCTGGTGCGCCTCAGCGAGAGGGAGCGGCACACGGAGCAGGAGTGCCCGGAGCGGAGCCGGAGCTGCCCCCACTGCCAGGCCCCCTGCTGCGGGGCCGCCCTGAAGGTCACTGGCCGGAGGGCCTGGCGGGTTCTTGGGGCGCTGGGCTTGAGCGCGGGGTCAAGGCTTTTAGTTCAGAGTCCGGGCGTACTCAGGCCGTTGGTCCCCAGCCTATCACTGAACGAGGCCGACTGGGCGGTGGGTGCAGGGGCCACCCTGCGGGGGGAGTCCCCTGTGTCATGCTGACGGAGCCCTGGGTGTGGGCAGGGCCCCCGCAGGCTGTCGCATGTGCCTGATGCCGGCGTTCAGCGTGGGGCCCTGCCCCAGGAGGCCTGTGAGCCTCAGCTGGGCCTGTGGCTCCCTTCCCAGGCCCTCCAGGCGGCTGCCTCCTCTCCTAACTGGGGTTCCCGGGTGGAGCCAGCCCTGCTCCTGTGGGTTGGGCGTGGGCAGCCTCGCCTCACCCCTGCCCTCGTCTCTCTAAGGTGCACCATGACGTCTGTCCCAAGTTCCCCCTGTCCTGTGACAGCTGCGGCCAGAGGGATATCCTGCGGGAGACGGTGAGTGGCCCCTCCTGCCCCGGCCTGGCGCCCCTGCTGGGGACACACATGCCAAGCCTTCCTGGGTCAGGGTGGGGAGCTGCCACGTGCTCAGCCTGCCAGTCCTCGGTGTTCCCAGCCGTGCTCGGGTTAACCAGCACAGCACTGTGTCCTCCCTCAGCCGCTCCTGAGAAGGGCACGGGGGCATGTCCTGCCTGGGTGGCAGCACAAGGGCTCGGGGCAGACCCTCAGCTGTGTGTCCGTCTGACTGGTTATGGGGTTGGGGCTGGCGTTGCTGCTCCCACTTCCCCTGGGCTGGCCACCCCGAGTGGCCGAGTGCTTCCTCGAGCAGCCCCACACGCCCCTCTGGAGGCACTTGTCCTCTGGCAGCTCACGGTGAGGTCGGCTCCGTGCCGAGGGGTGTTGTGAGGCGGCCGTGGCCAAGAGCCCACCTCCCAGAGGTCGGGATGCCCGCGCCATGTCCCTCCAGTCCCCCCAAATTGTTTTTCTTTAAAGAGTAGTCTTGGGGGGACCGGCATTTAGCATAATGGCTATGTCGCGGGACTCCCATGAAGCCAACCGCAGCTCGTGTTCCAGACCTGGTGGCTTAAACTCACGCCATGTGCATGTGCCCGAGATCCCGAGAGGAGAATGGAGGAGAAGGGATTGCGGTGTGGCCATCCCTCTGGAGGGGGTGATTTCTCGCTTTCTGTCTTTCTGTGAGCGCACGCGCCCTATAGCCAGGCGAGTGTCCCTATAGCCCAAAAAAAAAAAAAAACAAAGGAAAAACAATTGGGGGATCAGCAGGTGGTGTGGTGGTTAAGGCACTGGACAGTCCCACATGGCCAACCGTGGTTCAAGTCCTGGACCTGGTGGCTTGCTTTCTCTTTGTCTTTGTGTCTTTCTGTGGTTAAATTAAAATAAATGATTGAATAAATAAGTATATTTAAAAAAAAAAAAGGAAATAATTGGGGTCAGCTCCGTGGCCTGGTGGTTAAGGAAGCTGGATTCTTTGTGGCTGACCGTTTGGTTCAAGCCCCAGACCCAGCAGCGTGAGAAACACTCCAGGCGAGTGTGTGCGCACTACCCTGCAGGGTGCCCCCTCACGCACCCTCAGGGTGGTCGCCTGGCGCCAAGTGACCTGCAGAGAAGGGGTGGGCGGGGCAGGGACATACCTGTCAAGTGCACCTTGGAGCCCGGTTGTGGCCAGGAGGGGCGCGGTAGGCCGGCTCTCGGTCCCTGTGCTGTGCTCAGGCCCTTGCCGCTCTGTACCGGGTCCTCGGCCTACGCCCGTGGGGGCACGTGCCCTTCTGTGCTCAGCGTGTTTGCCTGCGGGCGGGCGGGGCGGGG